CTCTCCACATTTTCCCCTTGATCCCGTACAGTAGAGGTCCCTATTTTATTGGCGGGGTGTGCGCTGAAATTTCACCGGCACTAAACCGGACACCGGCACTATTCGAAGTACAGAACGACTTGGTATTCTAGTGTGTGCGAGCGAAAACACCGGCGCTATAGCGGCAACCGGCACTATACAGGGACCTCTACTGTATTTGGACAGTTGTTTCCACAGCGCTTTTCCCCATACGGTGTCGTATGCCTTATTCACGTCCAGGAAGAAGCAGTACGTCGGCTTTCCCGCCCTCTTTCTACCTTGGATGATTCTCCCTACCGTGAACACGTGGTCTACGCACCCCCTCTTCTTGCGGAAACCTGCCTGGCCCTCACTAATGCTATGTTCCTTCTCCAATACTCCCACTATCCTATCGTTCAGCAGCTTACAGAACACTTTTCCTACTGTGTTCAACAGTGTGATCCCCCTGTAGTTTCCTGGGTCAGTCTTGTCTCCTTTCTTAAACAAGTTCACAACCACTCCTTCCCTCCATCTACTTGGCGTCTACTCGTTTTTCCACACCCAATTGTATAGCAGTACCATCAGCTGGATCATCCCCTTCCCCCCAAACTTCATGAACTCGTTGACTATCCCATCCGCTCCTGCTGCTTTGTGGCACTTCAGCTTGTTCACACACGCCTCAACCTCGTCCTCAGTGAACTCCTTTTCTAGTTCTACGTTCCCAACGTCTGCCTTCGATGTCTCTCCTTCTTTCTTGACCCATGCGTCCACCTCCTTCTTAAACACTTGGTCAAAAGCTTCATTCTCCGAGGGCACTCCAAGTCTCTTGTAGTGTCCTGCTAGAACTTCCCTTTTTCCCTTCCCACTGCTGACTAATCCACCGTTCACACCTCGCAAAGTTGCGACCCCTGTATCCCCCCCTTGCGCGGTCTTTTTTACCATTCCACTAATCCCTTCCCACATCTGCTTGACGTTTCCCTCCAGGCCTCCGTTGGCCTTCTGCACTACTTCGTCCCAAATACACTTTTTCTTCTTTCTCACTAGTCCCTTCACCTGTTTTCTCTTGGCCCTGTACTTTTCCCAACTCTCCTCAGACGCCTCACTCAGGTACTGCTTGAAGACTTCTCTACGTTCCCCTATTTCTTCTTTCAGCTCGTCTTCCCACCACTTAACCGATACCCCACATCGTACCACCTTCTTTCCCACTACTCGCTCTGCCGTTGCGTTCACGATGGACTCCCACCCTTCAATCACTCTGTCCCCTGCTGCTTGCACGACTACCTGTCCGTCTTCGACGCTTCTCAGCAGTTTCCTGAAGGGTTCTACACGACCAGCCAGTCCCTTCTGGAATTCATTCCGTGTCCCGTCGTCTCCCAAACGCTCTACTTTCCAACGGATCACTTTGCTCTATTTAGTACTCTCCGTCTTTCTAGATCGGTCGATGTTTGCCCATATGAGGAAGTGGTCGGTCGAACCTATATCTATCGCACTTACGTGCAGCTCTGGGATCTGCGTGCTCCCCCGATCTACCAGGATGTAGAGCGGTATGTTACGTTAAGGTGAAAAGAAAACTTTGCGACCAGAGAATTTGACTGCGGCTGAGAACATTTGGTTGCATCCCCCCAACTTCTTCGCTTCCGTGCCGTTGGGTCACGCACCATCACAGATGACACCCAACCAAGCAACGCACGCTTGTCGCGCATCATCACTGCTTTGTGCTCTGTCTGATGGCGCCTGCTGCTGCTGGTGCTGGTGCCTTATATATATATATATATATTGCACACTCTCTCTCGCTCTTTTTGAAGCGCCTGTTGTCTGTTTGTGCCCATCTGCCCTGAGTGAGGTCGCACACGCCGTCTCTCTCTCCCTCGTCTCTTCTTTGGTCTCCGCTCCATCCAGCAGCAGCAGCTACAAGTAGTTATGCATACATCAATTGACAACCAAAATAAGAGAGAGGCCCCACGAGAAAACAAACAAACGACACCCCGCAGACAGCCTCTCCTCCTCTCTCTCTCGCGTTGTTTGGCATTTTTTGAGATCATCATCATCAGAAGTTGAGCGGGATCAAAACTATTACACCCACCCACCCCCGATTTTGCCAGATTTGGCGGAAGTCCCGAGTTTTACATGTGGATCACGTGCAGACCTAAAAATGGGCCATTGCCGAATAGAAGACCAAAATAAGCCTGAATTCCCTCCTCGGAGTTTTAAATAACTCTATTGGGTGCAGCAAAAAACAATTAATTGCAAAATTGAATTACATTGAATTGATTTCTGCTGAATCGAAGGTTCAAGAAAAGATGGGGGATAGGGAGAGGAAATGTGAAAATTCCAAGGGTGTGTTTGGTACGGTACCGGTATTTTCGGTAAGGTATTTACATCGTACCGAACGTACCGAAGTCCATACCGAACGCACCGGTATTTTCGGTAAGGTATTCAAGTCCGTACCGAACGTACCGAGCATCCCCGGTATGGTATGGCAGTCCATACCGGTACCGTACCGAACATCTCGGTATTTGTCCGGAACGTACCGAAAACTTCGGTAAGGTATTGAAGTCCATACCGAACGCACCGGTATTTTCGGTAAGGTATTCAAGTCCGTACCGAACGTACCGAGCATCCCCGGTATGGTATGGCAGTCCATACCGGTACCGTACCGAACATCTCGGTATTTGTCCGGTATTTCTCCCGAGCGTCGCCCCAATATTACAACATTACACGCAACACGCCCCAATACTTACATGCAATATCAATACTGATATCGCCCATCAAGAATGTGTGTGTGCGCACAACAGCAAGACCAAAAAAAGATGGTCCGGAGTCAATCCGAATCCGAGACTCTCCCTATTGAAAATGGAAGGCAGGAGAGAACAGCAACATAAATATTAAAATAACACGGGTCTTCATCTTGAATACGGAGTATGATTTTTATGATTTGATTTTGGACTCATATTTTTCTCTCATTACGCGCGCGAGTCCAACAAAACAAAACAACAAACCTGTTCTTGCTAATTTGCATCCAACACAAACGACGAAAGACTTGAACTTTCAAGGGTCTGTACGACAGTAAAAATTCAAGAGCGAATTGCCCTGTTGAAAAATCGAAACAATAACGGCGAGCGAAAACTTATATTTCAAACTGAGTCCAACTGAAGTACAAGTACCGAATGGACACTAGGAAACGTGTGCCCCCACGCGACGAGTAACCAGAAAAGGGTAAGGTATAACGTCATTGTATCAGAGCAGATGTTTCTCGATATTAAATTGAGGAAATGCCAACGGTAAGGCCATCGACTGTTGGCTCCTCCGTGTTGTTCAGAAAGTCGAATGTGTTTTCAGCAGCAACCAAGTCCGTGTCTTACCCCGAGAACCGGCCGGGAAGACACGAGCGGATATCCTTCGAAGCGATCATGGGGATGACACCGTACGCGGGGATGCTATCGAAGTTTGCTTTGGGGAACATAACCATCTCCAACCCGTACGTGTCCGTGCGGCTCCGATTCGAGGTCATGAGGGTCCCGCAACCACTGAAGTCGCGCTCGATTTGCGCAGCAGAGGCCTGGTTCCCGAACACCTGCTGGGCAACAGGCGCCAGGGTCGGGAATTGGTTCTTGCCCTTGGTCGCCCACCAACCGAGCACCTCCTTAGGATGCAGCTGACGATGATGAGCTTTGGTCGCGAGCTGCGGGGTCATCGTTGTTGTTGCTGGGGGGGGGTGGTGTGTTGTTCATGAGGGCGGCTGGTGCTGGTGCGCACCACCAGCTGTACGCTGTACCGATTGAGTAGGGTACGCCGGTACACTGCTGTGCTGCTGGTCTGCTGGTGCTGTGCATGTGTGTGGCGGTATCGGGTGAATGTCATGCCTAACTTCCCGATTAGCCCGATATCGGTACGCTCGGTACCGGTACTGCACTGGTCCCGGTATTTACATCGTATCGAACGTACCGAACACTTCGGTAAGGTATTGACGTCCATACCGAACGTACCGATGTTTTCGGTAAGGTATTGAAGTCCGTACCGACATACCGAACACTTCGGTAAGGTATTCTAGTCCATACCGAACGTACCGAGCATCCCCGGTATGGTATGGCAGTCCATACCGGTACCGTACCGAACATCTCGGTATTTGTACCGAACGTACCGGTATTTTCGGTAAGGTATTGAAGTCCATACGGAACGCACCGGTATTTTCGGTAAGGTATTCAAGTCCGTACCGAACGTACCGAACACTTCGGTAAGGTATTCAAGTCAATACCGAACGTACCGAACATCTCGGTACCGGTATACCGGAGGTGTAATACCGCTGGTACGCCTCGGTATGTACCTTACCAAACACACCCTTGGACAATTAACTAACACACAGTTTCGGACTGACTGGGGCTCCAAATTTTCCGGTTTAAAAGCAGATTTTGAGATAAGAAAGTTTCCTGGAAACTTCGTGCAGGTGAAATTTTTCAGATTTAATCGGCTTCATGTGATTGGCTGTGGGTCAGCAGTCCTCCCACGAACTTCCCCTGTCCGCAGGTGCTGTTGTTTTTTCGTGGTGCGCTGCGTGACAGCTGGCTGTGCAGCTTGCTTGATGACAAGGGGCTGTCACTGCTGCTGCTGTTGAGTGTGCGTGCGTGCGTGCGCGTGTCCGTGTCTGCGTCGTTCACTCAACCCCAGCACACGAAACCGCACCACACCAGTACGGAGACAGGAAGTGATTACTGTACACTGGTCGAAGACAGCCTCTGAACGAAGTGCTATGTCGCGTTTCAAGCGTTCGGGAGAGAGACGGGGGGGTTGGGACCGGGAGGCACGTCCGAGTCAAACGCTCTTCTTTCTAGTAGACACAAGAGAAAATACTCTTGCGCGCGGAAGGACGCGCCCGCCTTCACCAGGAGGCCACTACGCGCTCTTCCTCCTCTCTGCTCTCCTTCTTTGCTGGCGGCGTTGCCACCACCTCTATCTAGGTTCTTGCGCTCTTCCTCCCCCTTGCCTCAATCTGAAGGGCGTGTTGCTGACCTCAAGCCAGCCGGAAACAAAACCCAACTTTCTGACCGTGCAGCCTCCCTGTTTTTGTGTTAGTGGCGGGTCAACTCCAAGGCCTTTCGCTGGGCGCTGGCCTTGTCTTTGGCCGCGCTGACATGTTCTCAGCAGACTGCTGTGTGTGCGTGCGGTGGTGCGTGTGATGATGTGTTACTTCGAAGAAAGTTGCTAAATCGAAAAATCTTGAACAATTTTCCACAAACCAAGCCTCCCTCGGCTCTTCAATCTGTATTTTTTTTCCTTGTTGTGGTTTCTGGCGAGAATTGTCAGGAGCGCTCCTCAGAACGACGGCTTAACTCAAACTATGTTTCCTTATTTCGGAACAAAATTGAGTCCGAAACTGTCAAATTAACTAATTCAAATATTTATGAGGAGTAACCAGAAACGGGTATACCCGGATAGATTATCACCATTTCAGGGTACACTTGGAAATAAAGACGACACCAATCTCCTACAGCATCCGCCGTAGATCGCGGCGAAACCAGTAAACCGCTGTCTGTGTCCTGTGTGTCCTGTGCCTCGGAAGCATGATGCACGAGGCAGGTCGTGCCCGTTTTACTCTCTCTCTGTGCCTCTGTGTGTGTGTGTGTGTCTCTCTCTCTGTGCTTTTACTGAATAGTACCACACCGAAGTACTCGCGCGTCAAGCGAGTCCGACCCTCTGTTTAGAAGGGCCGGTATCCTATAGAGGCGGTGCCCATGAACCATGAACAAGCGAGCGTTGTTGGTGGTTTGGTTGTGGTTTTGTATGTGTGGTACACGGTATGTGCGACACACGTTTTTTTCTGCGGGTTTTATGCTAGAGCGTCGGGCGCCGGGATTATATGACCATTTCTGGGTACAAAATTGACCTCTTCCGGGTACACCAGTAACCAATATCGGTCACACCAGAGGGTCCTAATTCCAGCGGAAGTTGTACCTGATGGAGGTTTCTCCAGAAATGGGTACAATGGTTTTTCGGCCAATCAGCTGACAGCCTGGGGGTGCAAGCGTGTTGATTTCTAACTGTACCCTAAAGTGGTGATATAGTACCCGGGTATACCCGTTTCTGCTTATTGGTCAATATTTATTGTACTACGGGTGCTTTGCGGGGCCCCGCCTTCGAGAGCGCCTGTCTGGTGGTAAACAACGGACACGTCATTGTGGCGTGTGAACAAAGTAAAGTCAGATCAATTCTTTCAAGCGGCGCTTCGGGTCATAGCAGCATCAGCATCTATCTGCCCTGTTTATCACCGCCGCTGCGTCCTTTTGAATTGGTACAAAGATAGAGACATCAAGACACGATCATCACTCTACCACGCATGTGTTGTTGTTGCGCTCGAGGCAGCAGAGACACACCGCCAGACGGCCAGTGGCGAAGCAATCATCTTGTTTCAGATACTCTTTTATATGCAAGTTGCGACAGCACACACATATGTAGCATATGTGAGCACTTATCACAGCATTAGCACACGCCAATAGAACCTCTTTCCGCGTCCGAGCGTGAAAGGATGTTATATGGTGATGACACAGAGCATCGCCACGAAGCCGTTCGTTGTCGATGTAGAGGGTGCCGGTCTTCTTGTCGAGAACGTTGAAGGTCACTTCGTAGGATGAAGACATTCGTGGCTTGGACAGACGGAGGAGGGGGAAAGACTTAAAGTTTTGTGAATTGAGGGGGGGTAGGGCAGGGCGCGAGAGCGACTCGAAGGCTGTTCCGAAAAATGAGTGGCTGCGCCGTCCAAGGGCTTCGTTGCCACGATCGAGCATACATAGCAGATTGTGCTGGGAACCTTCTTCGTGAACAGCTGTGTGGTGTGGATGCGTAGCTACATCGCGGCGTGAGGGAATGCTCATTTCGGCTTGTACCACACCACAACACGACCACACCAAGCACCACACCATCCGGTGCCTCACCGCCTCAACTAATTTCTATTTTGGGAATTTGAGTGCATTTGGGAAGACTATTTAAACGGACCAATACAAAGTCACCCCGCTAATGACGTCAGGCTGTATTTCAAAATTTGGGAATTTCGCATCTCGCGGCGTGAAGTTGACTTTTAACTGTGCATTTCGACGACGAAGAATAAGAACACTTGTGCTTCGTTTTAGTTTTTTTTGTAGATTTATTTGGAACGGAAAATACTGGCGCGCTCTCATCTTCATGTCCACGTGTGCTCGCTCTGGAAGTCCTACAAAATTCACAAGTATGAAGGCACGGGTTGTTTTCTGAAGGCCCTGTTTTCTTTGTTGCTGTTTTTCCTCGTCCTCGGCAAAGCACATCGAAAAGGCTTGTGGTGCGTGCAGACGGCGCATCGTTGGAGCATGCATGTGCGGCTTTTCTTGTTCTTTCTAGCTTTTCAGGTAAGAGCTTGAACGTGCAGTTCCCTCCGCCGCCCCGCCCGATTCCCCCTCGCGCTCGCCTGTCCCGCGCATTTCTCGACGTCACAGATGTTCCTTCACCACAAGGCGGAACTCTTCAAGCTGCTGCCCGCAACCAGCCACATGTACACGTACATGGCAGAGTACGTTTTTGAACCAAGGTAAGCAGTGTCTGGCACGGCAGCAGCCGAGGTACGGATTGACAAACGGCAACCTCCCAAGACCTTCGCCGGGGAAAGCTTCGTCGGTTGCGGTTGCCCCCACCCCCTGCTCGGTGTTTGCCATCGGGATTGGGTTTTCGTCGCTTGGCAACGACGTTGTAAAACAAGCCAATTCACTTCGTGAACTCGGCAACCGGGTTACCTTTTTTTTTCACCTCCTTTTTTTTTTGGCGGGAACCGTAAGGGTGGTCGAGTAGATCATGTTGTGCGGGGTGGAGACGCCTCACTCCGCGCAAGTGGGATGATCGCATCACATTGTGTTAAAATGGTCAAGCACCCTCGAGGCAGTTACACAGTGCTT